GCCCACCCCCCAGCAACTTTCCAGCCACCGGCCGGATGAAAAGAAAAATAAAAGAAAAAGAGTTCTCCTTTCCGCCCGATGCTGCTGGCTAGCTGGGCGCGCTCCCCGGCGCTGGGGGCTCCCTCCCTCCCTTCTAATGCCGCAGCTTCGGGGACTCCTGGGGCAGATGCCAAAGCCCGCTCGCCTGACAGCCCGCCCCCCAGCTTCCTCCCCCAGAAACGTTCAACGCCGCCTCCATGCCGGGGGACGGCAGGCAGGACTTTTCTCCAAGCAGGATGAACGCTTGTTTAGTCAAGCGCTCAAAGCCGGAAGGTTTTAAAAAACCAAAAAAACCGCACAGAGTGGTCAGACGGCCCCTAATCGCAATCACTGCGAAAGATGGCTGGGCGAAATCGCGCATTCAAAGCGCAAGTGCCAGGAAAATACTTGATTTTCCTGGGGGCTGGAAAACCCGGGAGCATTGTGGGAGTGAGCCGGCTTCAGCGCGGGAGGCGAATTTGCCTGTCTGATCAGCAAACTTAAATGCGGGAGGGAGCAGCGGCGAAACCCGATCAAAAGGACCGTGTGACCGCGGCCTTAGTGGTGAAGGCAGGAGTTGAAGCTAGGGTTGCCAAGCCCCCAATGGGTAAATCCAAACAACAAGGGGAAAAGACTAGTGTCACAGAAGTCCCAAATATACAAATTCCACTAGTAGAAAACACCATCAAAGATTGCCAAAACAATATATTAAACAATTATAAAGTTGGTGGTGTCACAACTATGTGGACTCCTCCTATCAAGTTACACTGAGTACATGGACTTTATGTCTTATTTTCAAAGAAGGATAAAAGTTTTTTTGGGCCACTCTGAGATTATACTGCTTCAAAGAAGGAAATATTGTATCTTTTGCCTTATTACAGTTACAGTATGCATAAAAGTTGTTGTTGTGACACCACCAATTTTATAATTGTTTAATATATTGTTTCGGCAAGCCCCCAATGGGGGCAGGGTCCCCCCCTCCTCCACCAGCCAGCTGACTGGCGGAGGGTGCCCCATCCCCAAAGAGCCCCACCACGCCCAATGTGCCCGGCATGATGACATCACCCGAAGGTTATGTCAGCACACTGGGTATGTCATGCGGGAGACGCTCTAGCATTTGGCTAAAAACTCTACGGTGACCATAGAGCTTTTAGCCAAATGCGAGTGCATCCCCTGTACAATGTGCCCAGCATGATGATGTCACTTCCACGCGTGCAACAGAAGATCCCGGGACCAAGCCAGGAGCCCCTCCGCCCGCAGATGGGTAAGACCTGGCAAACCTAGCTAAAACGCCTCACTGAGGCCTATCAACGTGGAATCCACCAAATCAAATGCAGATGTGGCCTGGCTTCAAGGTCTCCCGTGGCAGCCATCGTCTCTGCAGCCATCGTGCCGTTAAGGAGGTGATGCCACTGAGCCAACCCAGTTGTGGCTTCTGAAACCGCCTT